TTTAAATTCATCGTTTTTTGGTTACATACTACAAGTAAATGCTTATTTTAAAAGCTAGATTTAAGACAACGATAAACATGAAGTGTTTGTTGGCGCCTTGGTTGAAAAATTTGCAATCAAATCAGATTTTATCTTATTTAAGTAATAATTCATATTTATCTACTTGTTTCCATTTGCGTCATAGTAGCTAAGATATGATCTATTTTCCAGGAATTGGTTTCTCAATTCATTTATATTCAATACAGTATATAAAGACAAAACTAAATTGGCAGTCAAATAGCAAAAACTTTTTGTACATCTTCTCCTTATATTGTTTAATTATAAAAAAAATAATCGCCGGAAAATTTATTGGTGCTTTTGACGGTTGATATAGAAACCGAAATTAAACAGAAGCCCTTATGTAACAAATCTCACAAGTTCAAAGACATTGTGCTCCAACATGATTATTACCTCATCGACGTCAGTGCAACATGGTTAAGTCTTTTCTTAAATTTGAAATTTAAAATTTTTTTTAAGATGAAACATTTGATAGCTGTATTGAGTACTTATTGATTAAACTTAAGAGACACAAAGGAAATTGCCGTAGGTACTTTGTACAGACCACCTGATACTAATTTTAACAATCTAAATTTGCTAATTTGTCATATCTTGTTTGGTACATCACGTAAAGTTTCAGGCATCAACGAAAAAATAGAGTTTGTACACAAGGTTAACAATCTTGAGGTTATATTCGATTCTGAATTAACATTTTCCTCCCATGTGCCTCATATCTGTAGAGTGTTACCCAAAATTTAGGCAACTTATTCCTCTAAAACATGTTCTAAATGAAAAAATTAAACTTTTACTTATAAATTCGTTGATTTTATAATATACCTTCGCACTTCCAAGAAGTTTTCAAAGTTAATGCTTGGTGTGGAATTGATGGTAACCACGTCATTGGTCCATGCATCTAAATTGTTTAAAGAATATTTTATCTCAACTGTTGGAAAACGTAAAGCTGGACATACGAAGAATAATTTGGTTTCAAAATGATGGCGCTCCCGCACATTATCAGAGAGACGTTAGGAACTATTTACATAGAGAGTTTGAACCAAGACTTATTGTTAGAGAAGAAGAGTACCCTTGGCCTGCACGGAGCCCTAATCTAAATCCATTAGATTTTTTTCTTTGGGGGAAGGTGAAAAATTACGTTAATAGTGTCCCAATCGAAAATAAAAACCACTTACGTGAAAAGATAATAGCGTCCTGCACATCTGTAACTCCCGACATGTTAGAATTCGTAGAAATTGTGAACGTAGGATAGGACTTTGTGAAGGTAGTGGAGGCAAGCATTTTGAACATTTAATATGATAAATTCGTTTTCGTTGTAATCTGATCCATTAATAAATTGAGTATTAATTTTTTCAATTTTGTCATTATTTGGCATTGACATCTTTGTCATATTTTTCTGTGATTGCTATTTTTGCTTATTAAAAAAAAAAATGGACGAAGTCGTCTCTGGGGTGTATAATATGTTGCCTATGCAAAAATTGTCAGGCGTGAACAGATAAAATGAACACCCTGTTTATATTTCTAAACCTAACCCGAGAATGACGTCTACAGTATGGAGTAGCTTAACTCCTATCTCTAAATCATGGAGCACTGCGCCCCACTTCAAGAAGACGAACTGTCCAAAATTTACTATGACCATCTATTATATCTTTCACTAATTCCATTTTTAATTGCATGGTTATTAGCTTCGATCTTGGCAATAATTGCCATGAAGATTACCTTTAACATAATAAATCTTTTTCTCTTCAACCCGGAGTTTATTTAGAGGCTAGAGAACACTCCCTAATCACCAACGATAATTGGCAACTAATAAGAGTTTACAGTAACATTAGTCATCGTGTTAGGAATTAACCGAATACGTACCTAACTATAAATTATAGAAATTTTAGCACACCTTTCAACGTTAAGTTAGAAGGAAGCGATTTGTTTAAATTGAATAGATCAGGCACCGCCTTTTCTGGCCAGTCTGTGTCAGAACCACATGGAAGTTTATATTCTACTGTCCATTCAAATTATTTACCGTCTTTTAATTTAAATTCAGATATATGTTTAAATAAGTCAAAACTTGTTAATGATACTGATTTCTCATTGTATGTTCCAACAATGTACAAGATTCATGACTATCATCAGTTGAACTTAGCTAATAAAAGTCTTAAAGAAGTGACATCTCTTATCGAAGAGAATGAAAGAAATGCTGTCCACTCATCCACACTAACCCATTATTCATTTCTGTTTTATATGTTTATCATACTAATACCATTTTATATCATATACAGGGTGCCGCATCCAAGTCTGGACATAGGGAATTAACATAGCAAATTGGTTTTCATTTTATAATATCTCCCCAGATCACTTTAAAGCTATTATTGAGTGATGCCTTTGTGGAGGTCTGGAGATCGAAGAGGGCTATCGATGCCCATTTACTGTAAAAAGGTTTTAAAAATCGTATTTTGAAATTCGCGCCCGAGCCGATTTGTCGCGAAATGTTCCGTCGCACTGTCGAAGTTCGGCGATCGTGTCTTTGGATTAATCATGCAAAATCCAAATGTCAAAGTGAAATTAGAAATTATTCTCAGAAATCAACGAACAACTCAAACTGATTTATTTTATCCAGTGTGATGTTTATTGTAGGACAAATTAAACGGAATACATGCACAAATTGATCCGTTTATTCGTCATAGTGCGAGACCCCGTCAAACGAGCCATCTCGAACTACACTCAGGCCGTATTCTGGCCTTATCCAAAAAGCCCGAGATGAAACCCCATCGGCAACATTGTGACATGTCCTGCGAGCCCGTCAAGCGAGGAATATACTCGCGCTGCCTCACTCAGTAATCACTGAACACGACTCAAATTGAATTATTTTATCCAATATGACGATTATTGTAGGTCACTTTAAACGGAATAAATGCACAAACTGCACAAAATATTTTATTAGGTTATGTTGCTGGTGTTGGTCGAGTCTTTATCACTTAAATTTCATTAGAATGCCATGTTCTACTGTGATTAGATGAGAAAGCGAGGGCCCGTTTTTCTTATTGTGTGATAAGATTTACCATCAAAGGAGCTGGCGCTTTTGAAGAGAACCTTTTAATGAACCATTTAGATAACTACAAATAACAAAACTTAACAATTGTTGATGAATGAAGTAATGAAAGATTCAACGAATCCGGAGAAGTATTGCACTATTTTCAAGAATTGGTCAAAAAGACTGCTCTCAGCAGCTGTACAGTAAGTAAGCCGATCATCAAAACTCCTACGCGTGTTGATCAGCATTTGAGTTGAAATCTGGAGACAATATTGCTGGATTGCTTGTTTGAGCGCTTCTCTGTTTGTATAGCTTGTCTGAATGCAGATGGTCGTGAAGAAATCTCCAAAGACAAAATTCCCAGGGGTTTAGATCCGGCGAATGCACAGACCAATGGGGCGGGAAAATATTGGTTTAAATAAACAACATTTATGCCAACTGTGTGGCTGGAGATTTGGTCCTGCATGTAAAAGACCTGTTGCAGATGCCGCACCCTTCGAGTCCCAGGAAGTATTTGCTGAGCCGTAATATTGTCCTACTTCTTAGCATTCAATCCAGATTCGATGAAAAAATGTGCAATGACATAATGTCCTAGAAGGCCCAGTCACACACTGACAGTTGCACGCCATTGATAACGATGGTCATGGACCACGTGAGGGTTGTGTATTGCTCAAATTTGATCGTTCTGGCGATTATAGCTTCCCTTAAGACCAAATGAGCATTCGTCAGTGAAACAAATGTTCCTCAAAAACTCTCCATCAGCCTAGATTTTCTCAAGCGTTCCTTCGTAAGACTTCATGCGTGAGAAGTAGTCAGTTTTTTGTCATGATGCTTTTTGAAACTCTTCTATCTTATCTGTTTAAGATCCCTAGAAAACATCGTGCCCACCTAATTTTATTTACTTTGAAAATAAATGTAACTTTATTTAGCGAAATATTATTTTTATTTTTGTTGTTGTTAACACAATAAACAAATAAAACAGTAATACAAAAGTTTCTGAATCCCAAAACACATTCGTAATAGAGAAAAATACTTTAAAATGTTGATGAGTCAATGTCTACATTTCTTTCTCAAAAATTTCTTGTAACGAACATGCTTCCAGGCGGCAAAAATTTCATCCCTGCTTAACAAATGTAAAATCAATTGACTTCCAATCTTTAGTGATTCGAAAAAAAAGTCTGAAATTTGCCCAAATTACCTACTAATTATGTTAACCGTTCAAGAACAAGCAGGCCCTCGCTTTTTCATCTAATCGCAGTAGAACATAGCATAACCTAATAAAATATTTTGTGCAGTTTGTGCATTTATTCCGTTTAAATTGACCTACAATAATCGTCATACTGGATAAAATAATTCAATTTGAGTCATTCAGTAATTACTGAGTGAGGCAGCGCGAGTACATTTCTAGCTTGACGGGCTCCCAGGACATGTCACAATGCTGCCGATGGGGTTTTGAGGAAGACCAGCTGCTCGAAGTCTTCATCTCCGGCTTTTTGAATACGGCCTGAGTGTAGTTCGTTTGACGGGGTCGCGCACCATGACGAATGAATGGATCAATTTGTGCATTTATTCCGTTTAATTTGTCCTACAATAATCATCACACTGGATAAAATAATTCAGTTTGAGTTTGTTGATTTCTGAGAGTAATTTCTTATTTCACTTTGACATTTGGATTTTGCACGCTTAATCCAAAGACGCGATCGCCGAACTTCGACAGTGCGACGGAACAGTTCGCGACAAATCGGATCGGGCGCGAATTTCAAAATACGATTTTTAAAACCAATCGCCATCTTAATTCCCTATATCCAGACTTGGATGCGGCACCCTGTATAAATGTTTACACTGCTATTACAAACGTTGCAATCCAGGAGACGATAAGGCTAGAATAAGTACGCGTAATTCCGTCACTAATAACATTATTTCAATGTGGTGTAGGAAAAAGACCCGACAAGTTGCACCTTTTGAGCACATTCATCTCCGAAATCTGACTCACCACACGCCAGGCATTACCACAGATGACGATGATGACGGTCATCCAGCCTACACCTGCTTCTGCCTTGAGGGCTTCACACGAACTTTCGCCTAAATATAAATGACGAAATTCTTACTAAGGGGGGAGGTGTTAAGAACCCCTATTCTTATGTAATTAATCAATTAATTAATAATATCTGGTTGACCGAGCTTCACTCACCTCGTTTGGTAGTATTAGATCAGATTAGGACAGATAAATATGCGTATAGTATGCATTTTGAAGTACACGCGCTAATTAAAAATACACATTAAAAAAGAAATTCCATAAGCAGTCTTTGTTTTAAATACTGATGAGTGACATGTAGAGATTAAAGAATAGAAAACTGGAATTATTGTTTGACATTTATTAAAATCTCATTTGTTACCCAAGTTCTCTCTCTGTCGTTCTTCTTTTTTCCTAGTTCTCTCTCTCGACTCTAGAAAAAGGTCATGGGTAGTACCGTAAAAATCTATACCAGAATTTCAAGTACATTTTAAATGTATGTTGTCCTTTTTATCTTTTTATATTTTCATTCTTTTTGTCCTTTTTATATATTCTATTTTGTCTATCTTTTCCATCCTTCCCAACCTTTCTCTCCTTCCTGTCCTTTCTGTCCTCTCGTCCTCTCGTCATCTTTTAATTTTGAATTAATCTTCCTGTTATATTATTTTTCCTGTAATTGGGTGGTTGTCTAACCCGTTGGAAATAAATGCATTATTATTATTATTATTATTATTATTATCTCATCCTCTTATCCTTTCATCCTTTCATCCTCTTATCAACACCATCATCCTCAAATACTTAGAACAGCATAATATTCAAATCCTCAAAACACGAGAATCGTCAAATCCTCAAAACATCAGATTCCTCAAATCTTCAAAACATCAGAATCCTCAAATCGTCAAAACATCAGAATTCTCAAATCCTCAGAACACCATAATCCTCAAATCCTCAGAACTCCATAATCCGAGAAAGGACGAAAAAGGACGAAAAAGGACGAAAAAGGACGAAAAAGGACGAAAAAGGACGAAAAAGGACGAATAGGACGAGAAAGGACAAAAAAGGACGAAAAGAACGAATAAGGAGGAAACAGGACGAAAAAGGACGAAAAATCACGACAAGGAAAAAAAAGGATAATAAGGGCGATAAAGGATAATAAGGACGAAAAAGGACGAGAAGGACGAAAAAGGACGGAAAGGACGAAAAAAATAAGAAGGACGAAAAAGGACAACAAAATTATAACAAGGACGAAAAAGGTCAAAAAGGACGCAGAAGGACGACAAAATTATAACAAGGACGAAAAAGGACAAAAAGGACGCAGAAGGACGAAAAAGGACGAAAAAGGACGAAAAGGACCAAAAGGACCAAAAAGGACGAGAATGATGAAAAAGGGCGAAAAAGGACGAGAAGGACAAAAAAGGACGAAAAAGGACCAGAAGGACGAAAAAGGATGAAATAGAACGAAAAGGGATAATTAGGACGAAAAATGACGAAAAGGACGAAAAAGGACGAAAAAGACGAAAAATGACGAAAACGACGAAAAAGGATGATGAGCGCGATAAAGGACGAAAAGGACGAAAAACGATGCAAAGGGCGAAAAGGACGATTTTATGAACATTATTTTACGCATGTGATGAGTTATTATAAACTTGTCGATTTTGAATTCTTAAAGCTTCGATTGCCAATGCTGTTTCTAATGCTTTATCAAAGGAGATGTTTACTAATTGAGAAATTCTTTCTCTAATGCTGGAATCTTGTAGTCCTTGGATAAATTGAGCTCATTGTAACATGTCGACCACAGATTTCGAACAAGTAAAACGAGGTTCTTTTTCTTTACATTCCGTTTTTAATTCACAATTTGTAATTAAATCATTCAATCCTTCAACGAATGTAGAAATTATTCACCTGGTTGTTAAATTCTTGAAAAGAATTTATGCTGTTCAGCTAAAACATTTTTCTTCGACATTTTTTTTATGAAACAGTATATTCCATTTACGATTTTTCGGGAAAGGGACGGGACGTTTGTGGTGTAGCTTCACTTAAAACATTAATTTAATACATTCTTTCTTTCTGTATTTTTAATTCAAAGTTCGAACCAAAACAAGAAAGTAAAAAAAAACAATAAACAAGCTAGCTACTCTAAACCGTCGACTAATTCCTTAACTGGTACTTTTTCCAGCAGATTGTTAAATATATTTTCAAACGCATTTGAAAATACTTTCGGAGATGAGTTCTGCCAGTACTCCAGACCATCTTCCCACTCTTCTTCAATCGCAATACATATATCTTCATTAAGCCGTTTATTTTTAAACAAATCTCTGAAATGTACCGTTCCTTTTTTTGCGCCCATTCTGAAAACAGTATCAACCACTTTCAGATACTTTTCGTTGTTTTTCTTGTACGTTTCCATAGTGTATATAATTTTAAACGTGGGTTTTACTGAAACAATTTTACTAGATTTTATACATTTATAGTTTGAGGTGTTACTTACTCATCGTAACAATCGCTTTGGTCGTGTTATTAACATAGATCACAATTATCCTCCCAACCAACTGGTAATCCAAGTTAAAAGTGACTTTATCATAAAAAAGAGTTATTGTTAAAGTACGTCCACTGAAGTCTAATCTGCAAGTGTTAGTTTTACAATGTCGTTAAAAAAAAAAGTCAATGCTTTAGCTTACTTTGCGTCTGTTTTTACTATTTTCGTCAGACCTGAGACTTTATAGTTGAAATATTTTTGTCGTATGCCGTTAGTTTCGTTTCCCAGTTCGCAACGTACATATTCTGGCGCTATAAACGGTTCCATTTGGGGCAAACCATAGTCGTCAATTGGTTTTTTCAACTGTTCGATGGCACCCTGAATAGCTTGGGACAAACAGCGGTCGAAATCGGGCTTTCTTATGTCGCATTTTTGAAAACCGGAAGCTGAAAATGTACTTGGTTGGAATAGGAAAAATTGCAATTTGAACAACTTACGTAATTTCTCAAAGTGGTGGCCTTTGATGAGTATCAGAAGGAAAATAAATGATGGGTTTGCTTTCATTTGTCGTTCTTGGTTGGTTATTATTATTACTTAGTTTATTACAATGTGCGTGGGGTACGGTTTACGTTTAATATTTATATATTTTTGTATCAGTTGTTCATTTGCATACGCATAATAATTTGTCGCTGCATTCAGACTTGTCAATAATATATACTGATTTCCATAAAAATCCGAAGACCTCGAAGGAGTTGAGCCATTTTGTTCATATTATCGGTCCGACAGTCATGGAAGAAATCATTAAAATTTCAACCAATCGACACAGTACTGGGGCGATTGCAGTTCCTTACCTCAGAGGGTTAGATCGCCTGCTCGTTCACCAGATTTGTCACCAATCGAACATTTGTGGGATATCATGGGCACACGTCTAGGTAACCCCGATTAATTTAAATTACCTTAGTATGTGGCTTCAGGAAGCTTGGGACGAGATCCCACAGGACACCATAAACCATCTTTCAAGCATGCCTCGCCGAGTAAATGAAGTGCATTAGAAATCACGGTGGACCCACATATTTTTGAATACATTTTTTATTTCACAAGTTTTACGCCTGTTATTTTAATCATTTATTTGGTTCGATTTAATGCACATTTGGTGAAACTTTCAGTTTTATCAGTCAACTAATTCAAGGTGTTCGGATTTTTATAGAAATCAGTAAAAGTATATGGAATATTTTGGATTTTAATGTTATCTATGTATGCGTATCTAACGATTTTGTTTCATTCATTACGTATAAACTTTTAGTAATAAGTGTATTGTTGGGAATTTCTTGACGTCGTCACTGTGCAGAAACGGATGGTTACAAAAAATAAATTTTTACGCCAAAAAGTTTCATCTTAATAAATAAAGTTGACCTGTCCGAGGATTTTTCAAGACAATGTCAATTAACGGAATTATGAATTTTGTGCAGAACTTATCAACAGTCTGCGTATGAAACAACAAAATGTATGTATATGTATGTATAAATGCTTGTTATCATCATGTGATAGATACATATTGTACAAATTGTGTCCGTTTCTGGAACGATTTCGGGCCTTGAACTTTGGGGAAAAATGGATATTGATGACCTGACAAAAACGCATTTACGAGTAGTTTTTGGAATTTTTAAAAAATTTGACTTTATAACGCAAAATATCGAAAATGTTGTTCGATGACTATAAACACCCTATATTTTTGGAATCAGACGTCGAAATCTATATACCCCAGAGTTTTTTTGTGAATTTTTTGACTAGTTTTTCAAAAATGAAATTTTTTCAAAACTCCCTCGTTCATCACCCATTTTTGACCATCTTCGAAACTTAACTAACAACATTTCCTTGTAGATTTCGAGGTGTAGAAGTCACTTCTGACCTTGTTTCTTTGATAACTCTAACCGTTTTTCCAGAATCGGCTACTGAAATAACGAACTTTTTGATTTTTTTTTTAAATTTGACTTTGAAATGGAAAATTTGGAAAATATTGTTCGAGAAACATAAACAAGCTATATTCTTAGAATCAACACGTCGAGGCCTATATACCATAGATCTTTTTGTGGATTTTTAGACAACATTTTCATAGGTGAAATTTTTCCAACACTTCGCACTTCTTCATATATCGACTCATTTTTGAACATTTTCGAAATTTAACTAAACACACTTTCTTGTATATTTCAAGCTCTAGAAGTCACTTCCGGTTTCATTTCTTTGATAACTTTAACCATTTTTCCAGAATTGGCCCTTGAAATATCGAAATTTTTATTATTTTTTTCTTCAATTTGACTTTAAAACGGAAAATTTCGAAAATGTTGTTCGACGAACGTAAACGTGCTACATTTTTGGAAACAGAACGTCCAGATCTATATATCCTAGAATTTTTTGTGTTTTTCAAAAATGAAATTTTCCAAATACTCTGCTCTTCTTCAAATTTCGACCCGTTTTTGACTTTTTTTTGAAAATTAGATACATGAATGATTGAAACCATCACTGAAAAAATTATACATTTCAAAAAATCCGATAAATCTGAAGAATCCGAAAAATCCAATAAATCCCACAATTATAAAGAATTCAAAAAATCCGAAAAATTCCAAAAATACGAAAAATCTGCCAAATTCCAAAAATTCAAAGAACTCAAAGATCCAAGTAATGTAAATAATAGAAAGAATCCAAACAATCCAAACAATCCAAAAAATCCGAAGAATCTGAAGAATCCGAAGAATTCGAAAAATCCGAAGAATCCAATGAATCCGAAGAATCGGAATAATCCGAAGAATTCGAAGTATCTGAAGAATCCGAAGAATCCGAAGAATCCAAAGAATCGAAAAAATCCAAGGAATCCAATAAATAAACAAATATTCAGAAAATCCAGAAATTCAAGAAATTCAATAATCTAAAGAATCCCAAAAACCAAAAAAATCAAAAAAATCCAAAAATCCAAGAAATCCAAAAAAAGTAAAAAAAATTCAGAGGATATAGCAAACAATGAAGAAAATCGAGAAAATACCGAATAATTCAGAAAATACAAAAAAATCCAAAAAAAAACTCAAGAAATGCAAGAAATCCAAAATCCAGGAAACTCAAGAAATTCAAGAATCTAAAGAATTCGAAAACCCAAAAATATCCAAAAATCCAAGAACTTCAAAAACAAAAAAATTCCAGAAAATTCAGCAAAAAAATGAAAAACCGGAGAATTAAAAAAATCTAAAATCTCAAGAAATGCAAGAAATACAAAACCCAAGAAACTCAAGAGATTCCAAAAACCACAAAAATTCCAAAAAACCCCAAAAATCCGAAAAATTCCGAAACCCTAAAAATTCCAAAAATCGGAAAAATCCCAAAAATTTCAAAAATGCCAAAAATACCAGAACTCCCAAAAATTCAAAGCACCCTAAGCATCCAAAGAATCCAAAAAATCCGAAGAATCCGAAGAATCCAAAAAATCCGAAGAATCCGAAGAGTCCGAAGAATCCGAAGTATCTGAAGAATCCGAAGAATGCGAAGAATTCGAAGAATCCGAAGAATCCAAAAAATCCAAAGAATCCAAGGAATCCCAAGAATCCAAGGAATCCAAAAAATTCAAGGAACCCAAAGAATACCAATAATCTAAAGAATCTAAAGAATCTAAAGAATCTAAAGAATCTAAAGAATCTAAAGAATCTAAAGAATCTAAAGAATCTAAAGAATCTAAAGAATCTAAAGAATCTAAAGAATCTAAAGAATCTAAAGAATCTAAAGAATCTAAAGAATCTAAAGAATCTAAAGAATCTAAAGAATCTAAAGAATCTAAAGAATCTAAAGAATCTAAAGAATCTAAAGAATCTAAAGAATCTAAAGAATCTAAAGAATCTAAAGAATCTAAAGAATCTAAAGAATCTAAAGAATCTAAAGAATCTAAAGAATCTAAAGAATCTAAAGAATCTAAAGAATCTAAAGAATCTAAAGAATCTAAAGAATCTAAAAAATCTAAAGAATGTAAAGAATGTAAAGAATGTAAACAATCCATGAAATCCAAAAAAAATGAAAAAAAATCGAGAAAATACTGAAAAATTCAGAAAACTGATTACTTTCAATCCAAAATCCAAGAAACTCAAAAAACTCAAGAATCTAAAGAATCCAAAAACCCAAAAAATGGAAGAATTTAAAAAAAATAAAAATATCCCAGAAAATTCGACAAAAAATGAAGAAAATCCAGAAAATCTCCAAAAATTCAGAAAATCCAAGAAATCGTAAAAATCCGAAAAATTCGAAATACACAAAAAATTTGCCAAATTCCAAAAATCCCAAAAAATCCAAAAACCCCAAAAATTCAAAGAACCCAAGGAATCCAAATATTGTAGATAGGATAATACAAGGAATCCAGAAAATCAAGCAAAAAATGAAAAAAATCGAGAAAATACCGAATAATTCAAAAAATTCGAAAAATAAAAACCCGAAAAAATCCAAAAAAAAAAAATAAAAAAAATCCTGAAAATTCAGCAAAAAGTCAAGAAAATCCAGAAAATCCAAAAAAATTCAGGAAATCTCCAAAATCCAAGAAATCCGAAAAATCCGAAAAATTCGAAACACGAAAAATCTGCTAAATCCCAAAAATTCCAAAAGTCGTAAAAATCCCAAAAATGCCAAAAATTCAAAGTACCCAAATAATCAAAATAATCTAAATAATACAAAGAATCCAAAGAATCCAAATAATCCAAGAAATCAAAAAAAAAATCTAAAAGATCTAGCAAGAAATGAAGAAAATCGAGCAAATACCGAAAAATCCAAAAAAACTCAAGAAATCCAAGGAATCCAAAACCCAAGTAACTGAGGAAATTCAAAAACCCAAAAAATCCAGAAATTCCAAGAAATCCAAAAAAATAAAAAAATCCAGAAAGTTCAACCAAAATGAAGAAAACCCAGAGCATCCCGAGCAATTCAGAAAGTTCAAGAAGTTCAAGAAAACCAAAACCCAAGAAACTCTAGTCCAAAAAATCGACACAACCCAAAAAAATTTTAAAAATCCAAGGAAGCCAAGAAACTGAAAAAATTCACGAAATCCAAAAAAATCCAAACAATTCAGAAAGTTTCAAAAAAACCCGTAATTTCAGAAACCCAGAAAATCCAAAAATCGAAAATATCAAAAAATTCAAAATCAGGAAAAACCAAAACATCCCAAAAAATCGGAATTTTAAAATATCAAAAAATAAAAAATTCGAAAATCCAAAAAAGAATCGAAAAAATTAATAAAATCCAAAGTATCCAAGACACGCAAGAAACATAAATCCTACCCAACTATACTCACAAATCTAATCTGTTTTTTGTCTACCTTATTATAGCGAAGGCTAAGAACCTTGTGCAGTCGATATCTTCAACTTCTTTAAATAAATCCTAACAAATTCCTTGTTCGTATCAATCAGTTTGACATTTACTGCTTTCAAATTGTTGTCCTTCAGTTTCAACATGTTAAGCTTTTTTTGTTGGCTTTCCGTAAGCTATCTAAGTTAAATATTTATATTATTTTGTAAAGAAATATATCTTCTGTTTTTTTTTAATTTGTTCATTACCCCCCCCCCTTTCTTTTTGCAGCTTTTCTGCGTTTCGAGAACAACTTTCAACAAAAAATATTTTTTGTTCTGGATGAAACACTGTGCAAGCCTTCAGTAAAAACATAACTAAGTGAAGAAGGTTTCACATATTCGAAGCTCCATTATTTATTAAGGAAAACAACACTTGTAAATAACATCAGCAAGTTGACTACTCAACCCCATCTACCAAGTTCTTCACTGGCACTTTTTCCAAAAGAATACTGAATACGTCTCCAAACGGTTCTGCGTACACTTTCGGCAAAACCTTTTGCCAGTATTCCATTATATCTTGCCAGTCCGTATTAAAGTCTTCACACATCGCCTTGTCGACCAGCTTGTTCTTGAAGAGATTTCTGTAATTTAACTTCATATTCTTTGCTAGAATTTTCAAAGTCGCATCCACCACCTTGAAATGGTTACCGTCCTTGCCTTTGTATTCGTCCAAAGAGAACTTCAACTTGAAAACTGTTTGGGCTGCAACGATTAAAAAAAAAAAGTTAATCATTTTTTTACTTTTCACTATATTGTAACTTACAGAACTCGGCACCCACTTTTGTTGATACGTTTACCGGCAGCAAAACAACTCTGCCAACGAGTTCGTAGTCAACGACGATTACGATTTTGTCGTAGTAAAGTTCCAATTCCAAAGCTTTATTTTTACAGTCCCATCTGCAAGAAATGACATTACCAAAAATTTATAAATATTAATTATAATTTATAACTTACACCGCCTTTCCTTTATCTATTTTTGTTAAACCATACAGCCTAAAGTTGGAGTACTTTTGTCGAATGGCCATGGTTTCGTTGCCAAATTCGCAGTTGGATTTTTCGGGGACCAAAAACGGTTCGAGTTGAGGCAAACCGTACTCAGGGATGGGTTTAGTCAGTTGCTTGATAGCACACGGAATAGCTTCAGACAAGCAACTGTTAAAATCCGGTTTACTTGCGTCGCATTTCTTGAAACCAGGTGCTGCAAAAATCTATCCAAAAACAAAGAAAAATTATTTAAATTACTCACGTAGTTGCAAGGAGAGGCAAGAGTTTAATGTTACTAGAACGTAAACCAGTGCTAAAATACTCTTCATGGTTGTGTTGCGTCTTCAGTTGGTTAACTGTGACATGGAAACTGTTTTAGTTCCGTTTTTATATGTTTTATGTGCACCTAATTAACGGTCTGTACATACTTCTTTCAAATAACTCAGATATGCAAAATTTTTAGTTTTATGTTTGTTTGGTGAAGAAGTATGTTTATTGGCACGTGTGGACTTATGAATATTCATTTCAACTTTTTTAAAATCAGCGCACTATACAGCATTAAAAATTCATAAAACGAAAATTAATACGAATTATAGGTGACGCAGTCGAATGGATTAAAATTTTGACCATCTTGAAACCCACGAAAAATGACAAATGAAACTGGACTTTCCAGAAAGATGGTCCAATGGGAATAAAATTTGACCAATAATTTTTAAGCACGATCCAGATCTACAAGAAAATATGATTCAATCATTTAATAAGTAATTTAACAAAGGCCCTGATTTGGAAAAGCGTTACACTGTATATTAGAAATCAAGGCACGCTTGACATGTATTTAAAAAGCAACTGGTCTATAATTAAAAGATTAAGATAATACTGAAACCTTGTAAAATGTGGAAAAGTAAATATCGATAAAAAGGTTTGAACATTCCAAAATGCAGTTATTTTTGACGTGTTATAGATAAACAAATACTTAAAATTCGACAAAAAAAAAATTCCAGTCCCATGGCACATAAGCTTACAAGTAAATTAAATTCTTATCGTTAAAATACCTCTTTTACTTTTTTATTTACAGAATCGCCTATTTATTCTGAAATATTCAAAGTCTTGGTTTGAAAATTTTTAATTGTTGATAATTCGCTTTAGTAAATGCTAATACGTTCAGCAAATAATGTTTTTTGAAAATTACAGTTGGAAATGGTTGGTTAATTTTCTGATCAACTTAATATTTATTTAATCATGATAGATTCATTAATAAATTCTGTTACAGTCAGATGGTTGGTTTTTATGTTTTTTCGATTTTTCATGACTTCTAGAGTACGAAAAGGTAGGTCTCTCGTTTCCGTCTATCGGTCTGCCTGTCCATTGATGTCAAATTTAACATGTGTATTAGGGTATTGTTTAGATGGTAAAATTTTACAATTCAACTTTAAAATTGCAAAATCGAATGCTTTGAAACCTTGCGAATGTTCAAAATTAATAATTTTTCGATTTTTGATTTCTCAAATTTTATATTTCAGTTTTTAAAATTTTTCAGTTTTTTTCTTCAATTTTTCGATATTACAGTAATGGCATTTTTCAATTGTTCGATTCTTCAAATTTTTGAGCTCTTAATTTCTTCATTTTTTGATTTCTCAATTTACCGGTGTTTCAGTTTTTCAAATTTTGGCGTTTCTAAATCCTCATTTTTTCGATATTTCAGCTTTTATATTACTTCATTTTTTGATTTTCCCATTTTTCTGTTTCTTTACTCTTCAGTGTTTTTGAGTTTTCAATTCTTCCATTTTTCGGCTTGGATTTTTCGAATCTTTGATTTGCCGAGTTCCAATTTTTAGACTTTTCAATTTTTGGATGTTTCAGTTTTGGGATTTTGGAAATTTCCGATTCTTCAAATTTTCGATTTTTCGATTTCTCAATTTTTTAATTTTTCGATGTTTGACTTTTAGATATTTCGATTTTTTGATTTGTTGATGTTTGGATTTCTGGATTTTTGAATTTCTCAATTTTTAAAATTTTTAAATTTTCGATGTGTCGATTTCTCAATATCTTGATTTTTCGATTTTTTAATTCTCTGAATTTTAAATTTTTCGAAAGTTTTACATTTTTCAGTTTTTTGGTATTTCGATCCTCGATCTTTCGATTTTTCGACTTTCCGGTTTTAGATTTCTTGGTTGTTCAATTTTTCGATTTTTAAAATTTTTGATTTTTCGATTCATTGTAAATTCGATTTTCCGATTTTTGATTGTCAAATTTTTTGATTTTTTTCGATTTAGGCCTAATTCGATTTTTCGACTTCTTAACCTTCTATTTCTCGATATCTTGATTCTTCAAATTTTCGATTTCTCGATTTCTTCGTTTCCGATTTTCCAAATTTTCGATGTTTCAGTTTTTCAATTTTTCAAGTTTTGGCCTCTCTAAATGTGTAATTTATCCATTCTTAAATTTTTCTTCCATTTTTCAATTTTTCGATAGTTTAGTTTAGACTATTCAATTTTTGAATTTTAAATTTTCCAATGTCTTAATTTTTTGATAATCTAATTTTTTATTATTTGGGTATTTTGATTTTTCGATTTCTCGGTTCTTCGATTTCTCAATTATCTCGATTTTTCGAACCTTCGACTTTTCAATTTTTCGAATTTTTTAATTTTAGATTTTTCTATTTCTGGATATTTCAGTTGCTCGTATCTTCAATTTTACGACGATTTTAGATTTTTCGGTTATTCAAAATCTCAATTTTTAAAATTTTTGTTTTTTCGACTTTTTAATTTTTCGGATTTTGTTGTTTTTTTTTTCATTTTTTTCCATTTGATGTTTCGATTTTTTGATTGTTAAAGGACCCTATACGATAAGGCCTAGTTTTCGGCCCAGGAAAAAAAACAACACATTTTTAGATTTTAATTCACAAGAAAATAGCATAATATTCTGCAATGTTAAAATATCTGCATGTAATGGTGATGAAATGAAAAAAAGTGCGGTGCGATAAGTTGTACTCGATACTTGGGTCTTAATTTGAGGATTAAATTCATTCGTGAACTCCAAAAAGATAATATTGAAAGTTAATTTAATAAATGCACAGAACCCAGAAGAATTCCTTCAGACTTTTTAACAGTTTTTAGACTGCTTGAAAATACAGGAATTTAAAGATCTTATTATTACTGATATACCTAGTAAGTGGTGTTAAAACAACAAGAAACAATACAAACCTGAGCTGCCCCCCTTGATTGCTGTTATTGACACTTTTTCATTAACAGCTTCTGGTAAAGTTTTAACACTGTTGCTTTTTTACTTCAACCAAGCTCATTTGTTTTGAATATGGTTTATTCTGACAAAGATTCATTTATTTCTTGTATTTGTTAACATATATATATTAAATATATAAATTAATATGTGAAAACTTACAACGTTTGTTGACTTTTCCACAAATTCATCAGGATTGGTTTTCAGTAGATAAAATTGTAATAAGGATTTACTTTAAGTCTTTAGTTGCCATTAATTGAGGCTGATAAGGTAGATTTTGGGTGTTGGTGTATATATGTTGAAGGATAAATTGTAAAACACAGAGTGTGTAGATTATTTAGCATTTTCTTACTTTACACTGACGCTTTTAATGTGTTGTAAACAATAAACACAAGATTTTATTGTCATATCTACATCTTTCGGTACCTATGCAAAATTAGAGACATTTTGAATTCTCATTTTGTTCAGTTTTATAAATAGCTACGTCAAAGCTGAATATTACGTAACATCTTTAGCTTTTTGACACGAAGAAACAGTTAAAATGTTCAACTTGGTCTGAGGATGTTACTGTTTTTATAAATATTAAGTAAAAAGTAGAAATATGTACTTCAAAAGTACAGTGGAGTCTTGATTTGCTTTATTAAAAAAAGTTGGAGATTTCAATTCGATGAAAACTGGAACCCAAACATAAAAAACAATAAACACAGTACTGTTACTAACAGTCGTGACCCATGTTTTAACGTTTTATGTTTGTTCGGTACGGCCTTTATGAGTTCCACGGAAGAATGAGTCCGTACCCAGCTCAAGTAAAGTCCCTAGTTATATATCTAGGGACTTTAGGCTCAAGGTACTCACCCCACCCAGCCACCTACTGGATGGAGGGCACTATCTTCAGTATACAGGACAGGCATGATTGGAAAGGGTACCGTACGCGACGACGCGATGCTACATTGTGGTCCTTCGAGCCGGATCATTCAACGCCACAATCTTGAAATATATTTTTTTCACTAGCAGCCATAACGCATGCAAATGTCGACTCATTTAGAGGTAGCAAATTCAACTTTTGCGACCACCGGTTCAAAAAGAAAAATTGAGGTTATGTACGCAATGTTTGATGTGATTATTTCTTAAAAATGAACAAATGTGTGCTACAAACATTACTTGAGTATACGCATGGTAGTTGGTAGACGGTAGAAGATAAAATGATTAACTCAGCGACAAGTATAAACGGTTTTCTTTGTGTTGAAGATTTAGATTAAGTTTGATTAGAAATCAAAACAAAATCATGTTGCGTCAAAAAATTGAACGTTTATTTTTTCAGTTTATTGTCTTATGGTTTCTACTAGTGAAAAAAATTCTCTGATGCTACGATTATGCAGTCATTCCTTACAAGAAGACAAATTACAGATATACAATCCTCTGGATCTCCAAAACAAGAAAGGGTTAATCCTCAATTTTTTAATATGTTATTTTAAATTGTCTCAACAACGTGTGTGCAAAGTTCTACGATGCTGCTAGTATCCAGTCATTGTTAAAAAGAGACTAATTCCAGATTTACCACCCTCTGGATCTCTAAAACAAGAGAGGGCTAATCCTCAATTTTTTCATATGTTATTCTAAATTGTCTCAGCAACGTGTGTGCAATCATCTAAGATGCTGCGAGTATGCAGTCATTCCTTACAAGAAGACGAATTCCAGATATACAATCCTCTGGATCTCCAAAACAAGAGAGGGCTATTCCTCAATTTTTTAATGTTATTCTAAATTGTCTCAACAAGGTGTGTGCAAAGTTCTACGATGCTGCGAGTATGCAGTCATTCTTAAAGAGAGACTGATTCCAGATTTACCACCCTCTGGATCTCTAAACCAAGAGAGGGCTAATCCTCAATTTTTTCATATGTTATTCTAAATTGTCTCAGCAACATATGTGCAAACATCTATGATGCTACGATTATGCAGTCATTCCTTACAAGAAGACAAATTCCAGATATACAATCGTCTGGATCTCCAAAACAAGACAGGGCTAATCCTCAATTTTTTAATATGTTATTCTAAATTTGTGATGACTCCAATCGTTTTTCCAGAATCGGCCACTGAACTATCG